TTTTTTTTTTTTTTTTTTCCAGAACTGGGGATTGAACTCAGGCCCTTGCATTTGCCAGGGAAGCGCTTACTCCACTGAGCCATCTCCCTGGCCCTACAACTACTTCTTTTTCAGTCTCTTACCTCTTTGCTATTCTTCTCTCTTCTTAGGTGTGTGCTGTATCTGCTCTACACACTGACCTTGGGTAGCAGGATTACCATTACCCAAGGGCATCCTCTTTTAGAAGTGTTACTTTGGGGAGGTCTACCCATCATATATTTATTTCATTTTATTTATTCCATTTAATCATTTGGGTTTTTTGTTTGTTTGTTTATGGAAATACTTAGTATTGGACCTGGAACCTTTTCAGTGAGATACATTGGCAGTCCTTTTCTTTTTTCTTTTTCTTTTTTTTAATTTTGAGACCAAATGTCATTAAATAGCACATATGGAACTCAAATTTGTAATCCTGCCCCAGGTTGCCCCAGCACTGGAATTACATACTTGCACTATCACATTCAGCTTTAATTTTGTTTTTAATTATCTGAATTCTATGAAGCTTTAAAGAGCCAGACAAATAGCTCAGTGGGTTAAAGCGCCTGCAAGCAGACACAGGGGTCGGGGGTTCGATCCCTGGCGTGCCCTGCTGGCCCCGCCCCTGGAGTACACTGAGATGGCAATTGAGCCTGGGTGTGTTGGCACTCTCCTGTAATCCCAGCACTTGGGAGGCTGTAGACAGGTGGATCACTACGAGTCCAAACTAGTAGTGAGGCCCTGAACACCCTATAGACCCTGCCAGAAAATACAAAAAAGAAAAAAAATATCTATGAAGCTTTGATGCTATAGGGACTTTACTAATCCTATAATCAGGTCCCAGGGTTAGGGAATTCCTAGAGATAGTGGACAATGACCATTCATATGTAAATGAATAATCCCAAGACCTCCTTACCTAAGACTCAGTAGGCCAGGATTTCCTGCCTTCTACATCATCACACGACTTGATAGTGCAAAACTAGAGCACCCAGTACGCTCGAGCACTATCCAGTTATTCAAACTCTGCAACTAAACTTGTTCAGGTTTGCCTGCCCTTCCCTGGCCTATTGTTCCACATAGTAACTGCACTGAAGGTCCTGGGTGCCCTCCTGCCACCTCCTGACCAACCTGCGCTGCACTGTGTGGCCCTGGGTATCATGTGCGACCCTCTTCGTGAGCATGGAAAGAAAGAAGCTCTTGTCTCCAAGGCAGCAATCTCTGTCTGTTGCCTTATCACACTTCTAGCAAGAATCCCATGCACACAACCAAGGCATCAGGGGCACATGCAGAGCCGAAGGACACAATAGGAGAAGGAATACTTCCCACAGCCCCTCTGCTTTCCCTGCTCTGATGTCCTCAGGAAGGTGC